TAGTTAAATCAAGTTAAGAGCATCAGCTGCATTCATAGTTTTATTTAAATGACTTGCAATACAATTAACTAAATGCATCCTCCTTATGTAAATGCTACTATCTCAGTTTTCTTCCTTTAAGATTTATTATTACATTCTAGTTGCGACAACTTTTAACCTAGTTGTGGCTACTCAGTTCATTTAAGGAAACTCATTGCCTTGAACTTACACAGCAAATGTGCCAGTGTTAAATGAACACTGCATGGTGTTTAAATGGGTCACATTGAGTGTTACTACAGGGCTCAGTGCTGCAGCATATTTGACTTTAGTGTGTTTGGAAGATCCAGCTGGGCACCGGATAGGTTAAGCACCTGTTTAAAGGTGAATAGGCAAGCTTCTTCCAGCACATGGGTCTGGAAAACTTCAGATTACAGGTCAGTCCTCTTTACTGGGTTACTGCATGGGTGAGTAAGCTGGGAATTCAGGTGTGAATCGAGCTCAGATTTAAAGGAATTTTAAATCCTGAGGTTCTGAGAGCAACAAAATCACCTAAAGTCTGTCAGGTAATTAGATGAAGAATGAGCGGTAAGTGCTAAGACATTGAAGTTTTTTTGGCATCTTCAAAGATGCACCACAGTGTGTTTTATATTTTACCTGGAGCTGCTGGTTTATTCTGCTTTACTTTAATGTTTCATATCCATCAATTACACTAAAACTCACCTGTTAGTACACCAACCATAATGATGGGAAATGCAGTTGTCAGAGTGAGGAATATAATAAACTGCCATGTAGCTACAAAATGAAAACAAGAGTTCATTTTAAAATAAAATAAAAATGGGACAATTTAATACATGCTGCATTCAGCCCATCACACATCACACCAGCAATCCCTAATTATAGGGAAAATATTTAACATTAGATCATTAATGCCCATTTATTCCATAAAGAAAATTTAAGTAAAATTCATAATATCTGATCATGAGCTGTTAGATGATCATTGTATACACATTAGCAACAGAAGACATCGTTATTTAAAGTAAAAGCTTCTGTGACCCACATTACAGTGTAACAACTGGACAGTGCACTGTTACAACCCCGATAGCAACAGTGACTGCAGAAAAACCAGATAACATATGGAAATACATAATGAAAAATATAGTAATGGATTGTATTAAAATGTATTAAAATGTTTTAAAGCATATTTCAGAAACTATGGAAATTTGGACAAATAGATAAATATTCATTCCTAAATTCTTCTGTTGCTGTGCAAATACATGTACTGATGCTTCTGGACACATCCTCAGTGATGTTCCTGTAATCACTGGGCGTTTCAGGTCTTTCAACTTCATATGCCCTCCTCCTGCTGTGTGGCTCAGCTTTCCACAGCTCAGCCCAGGTCACCTTCCTTTCTAACTTATTTTCCCATCTTGACTAAACCCCCTGTTGCATCATTCCCACCATCCAGCACAATCTCTCCTTTTTCACTGCTGCTCTCACTTTCTGCTGGGCTAGAATTTTTCCTCCTTACTTTTGGTGATTAAGGTGGGATGTGGAGAAGGATCCAAGTCCAGCTTGGCCTTGCACCACCACGCCAAACATTATCTTGTGATTCAGCCTTGACATGCAAAACAGCTTCCTCCGCCCTCGACTTCCTGCCAGTCCTCACCATTATGCCAACTCTGGCCACCTTCAGATTGCTTTACCCTCTGTACTGCAAGACCTTCCTGGCTCTTTTGACCTTGAACTCCTCCTCCAAGTCACGGTTTGTTTGATGACCATAGAGAGCCATGCTCTTCAGGCTACTTAGGAGGCCTAGCCATCTCCAGAGGTGGCTGCTGACTTTCATCTCCAGGGTCAATTCGTATCTTAGCTATATTGAGATTGGAACTTTGTAAACCAGGAGTGGCCACAGGACTCTTGCAAGAATACCATGCTGGTGCAGACATACAGTACTTTAAGATTCCCTGCTTGGCTATACCAGTTCACTGATCTCAGCCACCCATCCAACTCAGTGCAGGTCGACTTGATGGCTGTTGTGTCCTTCAGAGTGCTGTCAAACACTTGACCTAAGGTCTTAACAGGTTACTCTGTGATGGTTGGGATGGTAATATCTGCGATACTGAACCAGAATTTGTGATCCACCTTCCCTCTCCTCAGCACAATTGACCAAGATTTGGTGGCTTGAACTGCATCTCTGCCCACCCCATCAGCTTTTCAGGCCCCTGAAGGATCCAGTGACTGATTCTGTGGTGACTGTTATGTCATCCATAAATGTTCTGATTGGTGGTTGGTGTTGAGCAGTTTCTGTTTTAGGCATTCTGCACTCTGGTTCAGCATATTTTGTGTGCATTTTAATGGCAACAGGGAACAGGATCACAGAGATAGTGCAAAACTTGTGGATCCCGATCTCAAATTTGTGCCAGCCTGATAAATCAGCCCCAGAGGAGGCTCCATCAATCCTTCCATCCATTCATTTTCTGTATGTGCTTGTCCAATTCTGGGCTGCGTGGAGTCCAGACTCTATCCTGGAGGCTATGGGCACAAGGCAGGGAACAACCCAGGATGGGGTGCCAACTCAACACAGGGCACCCTCACCAACACTAGCTGACATCTTTAATCCCTTCAAACTAAAATTCTGAATGTCACTGCAATGTCCCGAACACAAACAGTGCTAATAATAAAAAGCTAATAATACAGCTTGAGGACAGTAAAAAATATGTAAACATACCTGTGAATAATTTCCGATACGGAGCCATATAAAACAACACCAGGATATACAGCAGATTGATGACAGGACAAGTAACAGCCTCTTCTGTGGATCCTGGGAAACAGTTAACATAAAGTTTTATTTATTTTGCAGACTTTTTTATCCAAAGCAACATAGATTTTTATGAAAGAATGCAAGGTTAGAAAATATAAGCAATTGGGGTTTAAGGGCCTTGCTCAGGGGCCTATGTTTAAAAATCACTCTGCCGAGTCTGAGATTTGATCCAGTGACCGTCCAATCACAGACACAGTGCCCTAACCCACTGAGCTACACCCCCCTTTTTTCCCAACCGACTGCTTCGAGGTAGAGTTGAACACTTCTTGACCCATACAAGTTTTAGCAGATTTCAGTCAAAATTGAAAAAAATTCGACACACCCGTTCGTCATTCGAGTTGGTTGCATTATGAGCCGTTCGACTTCCAAGGTTCTACTGTACGTGAACGGGTGTCAGTTGTCTTATTCTCTGTGAATTTGGTTATGTGACAAGTGTGCTTTAAGCCACTTGGACAATTAAATGAATAAAAAGTGGCTTATATGGAAAGCTTTTCTTTGTATAAGCCACTTAAAGTATATTCATAATTGTTCTATTAATAAATATGATTAATTCATTTAGTTTCTATATGCATGTTTGTGTGTGTGTGTAATATATGGCACACTTGATAAAAGATTAATAAAAAGATTCAGAAAATCTGTCTCTTTGTAAAGTTTTTTTAAACCATATTCAAAGGGCTCACCTTCAGTTACACCACACAGGATGAAGGCTGCGGAAACCATGATTGGTGGAACTGTCAGATGTGACCAGTGACTCAACAGAGCCTTTTTGCTTTTATCTATAGACAGAAAGTAGAACCAAATTTAACCACATACTCTTTAACGTTAGATGATGGTTCATGCAAAGATGAATGATGTACATCCATCCTCAGATGGTCATTCTGCTGCATGCTCACCTACAGACACCCAGTATAGACTGTCAGTCTCACTAGATGCAGCTCCTGCATTATTTTTAGCATAATTTCAATGAGGACATCAGCTTTATTTCATTGTTTTGGTTTGCTGGGGTTAACAGTGATAAAACTTTCTGAAATGATTCATATTTACACATATGTGTTTGTTACCAGAGAAACAGGATCAAAGTATGTTAATTACATCACAGTTAAGCCCTGCAATGGACAGGCACCCTGTGTAGATACAGTCCTGCCTGATGCCCCATGTCTGCTGAGATGCCCTCTACAGGATAAGTAGCCGCAAAACATGGATCCACTGATGTCATCAAAATTACTAGAAATGACAGAGCAGATGCTACACTTACCTCCCCTTATTAAATGGCTGACAGATAAAGCACCAGTAAGTAGGACTACAGGTGTGACAGCAATGCACAGCCCCAGAATCAGCCAATGCAGGGACGAATAACCTAAAATATTCAGAATTACATTCCATTAATTCAATTAGTCATTTTCTTTCTAAAATAGGCTGTTTGTCATGCTGCAGCATAATCAACACATCCACACCATTTAGTTTCACAAAGTGGAGCAGAAATTTATGATTAAATCTTTGTCCATAAGTGTTTAAGTCCTAACTGTATCCAGGCTGAAAAAATAAAGATTTAATATATAAGATTTTTCATATTCCCATATATGATTTGGATATATTTACAATGACACAAAGGAATTTCTAACTGTATTATCCAGTGACTCAATGTTACGTACAATTAATAAAAGTACTATGTTGTTACTGCATTTTTCCTAGCTCCCATGGTCTCAGTAGCGTCTACAGTGCCTTGCAAAAGTATTCACCCCCAGTTGAAATAATTGGTTTTGTGATGTAAAAAGTGAGACCACGTTGAATCTTTTCCGCCTTTAATGTGACCTATAACCTGTAACATTAAATTGAAAATCAAACATTAGAAACATGGTATTTGAAACAGTTCATAATTTGGAATAGTGGTTAAAAAAAAAGTTTAACCAACATCCAAATCCGGGCAAATTTTGCAAAAAAAAAAAAACATGAAGTATATCTGGTGCAAAAACAACATCACATCACTAAAAGAACACCACACCAACGGTGAAGCATGGTGGTGGCAGCATCATGCTTTGTGGTTGTTTTTCTTCAAAACCTTCAGGTGTCTGCTAGAAAGCTGAAAATGAAGAGGAATTTCACCATTCAGCACAACATTGACCCCAAGCATACATCCAAATCAATAAATGAATGGTTTCACCATAAGAAAATTAAACTTCTGGAATGACCCAGCCAGAGCCCAGACCCAGATCCAGTTGAAAATCTGCTAGGTGACCTGAAGAGGCCTGCGCTCAAGAGATGCCCTCACAATCAGACAGATTTGGAGCGCTTTTGCAAGGAAGAGAGGGCAAATACTGCCAAGTCAAGATGTGGCATGCTGATAGACTCCTACCCAAAAAGACTGAATTCTGTAATTAAATCAAAAGGTTATTCAACAAAGTATTAGTTTAAGGGGGTGAATACTTATGTAACCAGCTTATTGTACATTTTTTATCTTTTATCTCCCCCCAACAGATTTCTTTGTTTATCAATTGAATTGTATAAGATACTGTATAGGTGGAAAAAGTTTTGGTCTCATTTTTTTACATCACAAATACCTGGTATTTCAACAGGGGGAGAATACTTTTGCAAGGCACTGTAAATGAATATTAATAATAAAACCATAATTACACATTACACTGCATCACTTAGAACTTTGTTATTTGTTAGAACTTTGGAGTGACATCAGTGGCCTATACAATGTATTGATAAGATAGGTGTCAATACATCTGTAATATTATAAATACTTTCAATAGCCCATCAGTCTGGAATGTCATTGTCACTGCCAAGAAAAGAAGAGACAATAATAGCCTTTTTACAGTTTACAGTAGTAAGCAAAAGTTTGGGCACCCCTCGATAAATAACATTTTTTTTATGGAAAA